CGCTTTATGTGTTGAAGAATTGGATGTGACAAACATTAATGCATCTGACTCGACATTCGAACCTTATTTGGGAATGTCACAGTCCATTAATTTATTGAGTAGTTCATCTTCAGATGTTCCGATGATTAGTGATGTATGAAAACAAAAACGAGCGTCGGGTGACTAGATTATCTACTTTTCTATTTACCATTTTGATTATACTTCTACCGTTGTCGAGTTTTTCAATGTTTAATATTCTATGATTTGTATTTGATTCTCTTGTTAATTTGATTATTCATTTGCATTAGACTGATTTACTGAATCTTACGTACCTTAATATGTGGTTTTGCATTGGTTGATTAAGATAAAATCCGGACAATCAAGTACACCCTATCTTTGTAGTGAAACTGGGTCTTCACTTGCACGATAGGGCAAAAGTTGATAATGCTAAAATAGTATCTTGGTGACTCGACCGATGTTGTGAGGCTACTTCGATGTCTAGCTAGCGCTTCTAGTCCAAAACCTCGGTGTAGTGCGATCTTCCATGTTACATTTGATATCGTCTTTTTGATAATGCAAAAGGATTACTGGGCTTGATATGTTATGTGACAACAATTAGATTACACATTTTGTGATCATTTCTCCTCCAAATGCAATCTCGAGTTGATTTATATTTTCAAATCACAAATCTTTTGATAAACATTACCAACTGAAATGCACGCCACGTAATTTTGATCATATGTGCGTTGTTGACTTGTAGATGTTGTGTTAAGTATAATTATTTTAGACTTCTATATATGAAACTACATTTTACAATGTTTATCACAAGGGTAACATGCTTTGTGCATTATTGGCATGTAATATGTGAACAAGCATGATTCAAAATGTAAATATGAATATTGCTTAGATATAAAATGAAATTCAAATGCTGAAAGATTCGAAGAACAAAGCATTGAACCACGACATAATTGGGATAATATTTATAAGTCACCAAATTCTCCAAAATATGACAAAAGATAATCATCCTACCTAAAGAAAAATGTCTATCTAACTACAGATGATTCATAATTTAAGATCATCCGTTGACTCTAACATTTCAAACGACTACACAAAGGAAGACAATATCCAAAAGTGATGGCAATCACTCCACCACTTCCTTCATTTTCCTATCCCTCCTAACACCCCTCGCTACAAGGTCATAGTCCGTTTCATATCTTTTGATTAATTTCTCACATCCATGCTTATATAGCTGAGCAGCCATGTATGTCCTTGACATGTTTGCATTGAGAGCCTGTTTGTGAGTGATTTTAAGAATTGATTTTTTGACTGTTAAGAGAAAAGTGGGTTCTACTCGTGAGAGAATAAGTCAAATATGATGGTTGAAATAGTAAAATAACGGTAAAAAAATCAATTTTTTGGGCAAAAAAAATCACTTCCAAACAAGCTGTGAAATTATAAGATCTTTTGGTGTATTATATCTTCAGCATACTTTATCACATAAACTTTGCAATCGTGTTTGTCAGTTTGATATATATTATTACTATGTCAGTGTTGTTAATGATATAGTGAGACACACGATAATATTGTATAGCATATTGAGTTAGACACCGAGTTGTATGGAAACACTACTACATGCAACATTTTATAGAATACTTACCCATGACCATCTTGTGGGATATAGCTAGCAATCTTCACTGCAAGCGGTTCAAAATGCTCAAACACGTCTACTATGTTGGGCTTGAGATTAAGCAAGGATTGAGATTCGATTTTACATATCTTGATGTGTAATGGAGATCTTTGTGGCAAATGTTTTTTTTTTCAAATTCTGGGTTCATTATTGTAATGGTGATATGGTAATTGTCAGGGGAGGGAGGGTAAATTGTGGTGGTAATAATTAGGGATAAATGGGGCGATAATATGGAAGTGACTTATGGGCGTGTTTGGGGGGGATTGAATTCCTTTTTTGAAGAATTATTTTAGGGATTGCGTCTACATTTGCCATTTTTTGTTTATACTCCTTATTTTGATGCTAATTTGTTTAAAAGAATTGTAGTAACATGTGTGTGTGTGTGTATATATATATTAAATTTAACGTAGGTGGTGGAATTTCCTCCACATTTAAAAACAATTGCAATTAGTTTCAACCATAAATCTAATCTGCCCCTGCTGCCTAAATTAGATTCTCGCTCCTGGCTCATGTTGCAGCTTGCCTCCGGACGCGAGATGCATGCCTCCAATCTTCTCCCTCTAGCCCCCTCTCATCACCACACTGGGCTTGCTCCAGTCAGTCTAATCCTCGGTTCTTTGTCTTTGTCTTTTGTTGTTGTTGTTGTTGTTTATATGTTGTTTTAGATATTTTATGATTTTATAATTTATGAGTTATGATTTATGAATTATGAGTTATTTGAAAATTTGTAGTGTAATATGATTTTTGAAAATGGAAAATGATAAATTGGGAAATTTATGATTTGTGATAAATTGGTGTTGAAATTTAAAAATTGAAACTTGAATCATATTTTAAATTTATGTGGAGAAGGACTTTTCAAAAAGTTGCGAATGAGGCAATCTTGCAAGGATTTCGAAATAAGAGACCTTGGAGAACACAATTTTTAGAACTTATAATTAAAGAATTGAGGTTGTATCATGTATTTTATATTTTTATTTTGGATTGTATTGAATTATATTTTCATATAGATATATAATTTTTACGTTTTAGTACATTTTTATATAGATAGAAAATTTTTCAATATTATTTAATTTATATTAATAAAAGAAATTTCTATTACGATTGTTGACGGTCAATGGTCAACAACTACCCTAATTAAGTTGAAGTTCTGGATCCACCGCTACCCTCCTTGGACGAAGATATTTACCCAAATAATTGCGAATATCTGGTATGGAAACAAAGGTAGATAAACTTTACCTTTGTTCAATGAAGATCCCAAACTCCCTACAAGATAGGGAAGTAATAACATCCATACAATTATTTAGGATTTCCATAGAAAATTACAAGAGTACATAAAGTCCCCTATGTCTTCTTGTGCTGCCATAGTGGGGTTATAACATTCTGCATGTGATCATGAATGGACCACACGAGCAATCACTTTTAGAACATGTTTGAGTTCCTTTTTAATTTTAACATATATTTCTTTTTTTTTAATAACACATTTTTTAATAAATTAATATTATACGTAAATCAATTTTTTTTCTTCTTTTCTAACCGCACATTCTTTAAAAAATCACCGATTCAAAATACATTCTTTCTTAAAAACTAATTTTAATGTGAGCCCGAACATGGGCTTGATGTCATAAAGATGCATGAAAGATAGATATTTCTAGAAAATTGCTGCAATGCAAATAGGATTTAAAATTTAGTTGTGCAACAGTTCACTGCGTAAATTTGAACAACATATAACTGCAATAACTTCAAATTTAGGTGTCTCAAGAGTGACTAAAAGATTTTCAGGGAAGTTAAGCACACGACATCGAAGAATAAATACTTGCCATTTGCAACAATCCATACAATGTTTCTTGTAATAAAATGCCATGAAGTTCTACTCTAATTATTAACTTTGAGAAATCTTACATATACTTAGGAAATTAGGAAGGAAAAACCTGAAAATGGGATGTTATCGATACTATTTCTGATTTCTAAATTGGAATTTTTTCTGTCTGCAGAATATGCTTCGAAATTCATTCTTTATGAGTAAAAGAGACTTCTTGTATTCTTATCGAGAAAGATATTTATGCACATGCTTCACAGCCTTGAAATCTGTCTTTTCTCTTGAATAAATTCTGCATGGGTTGGATATACGCTGTACCATAATATTCGGTAGCAATACGAGACACAGTATACGCACTTGTTTGGGCTCCATTAAATATGATAAGTCCTTGTTTGGGCTCCATTAAATATACTTTTTTTTTGGGGTGTGTAATATTATTTTATTGAAAAATGTATGGTTAAAAAAAAAAAAAAGATTTTTTGAGAATGGAGCACAAACAGAGGTTAAATAAAACTTTTACTTCTTAAAGCTAAATATAGTACTCCATCCGTCCAAATTATATAGACTTGTTTCGTTTTTCACACAAATTAAGAAATCTTCTTTAATGCAATTGGAAATTATTTTTTGCCAAGATACTTTTTAGTTTATCTCTATTTAATTTTTAGTATGTAGTAGTAAATTATTGTTGAAATTAGTAAAGAATTTGAATGATTTAATTTGAAGAAGAAGAAATGAGAGTTGTTTCATGTTTTCCAAGAAATGAGAAATATGTGTATTTGGATGATTTCAAAAAGTTGGGATATTAAGTGAGAAAATTTGAATAAAAGTATATTGGTAAATGAATAAAACAAAACATTCTAAATTAGGAAACATGCCTATATACTTGGGATAAGAGAAAAAAGAAATTCAATCTATATAATTGGAACGAACGGAATAACAATTAAGTTACTTGTATGGATAAATTTACTTTACCATAAAGATTTGACATAAAACTTGACAAAATTGCATATGACAGTAGATAATTGGATGGAAAAAAGTTGACTGTATTTTAAATTGTTCAATGATAGAATATCACACGGCATTATATTAAGTTTTATGTCAACTTTGATATTTATGTCGTATAATTGTACTTGCAACAATGTTATAAGTACAGAAAAAATCAATAGAAATTTTGTAAAAATAACACTTGTAGGTTTTCATTGGGAGATTAAAAAAAAAAAAAAAAGAGAAAAGCACAGGCCTTTTTCTTGTACTTGTATCGTGATTTCTTACTTTTGTTGACACATGATGAGATGATATGCATTTTGGCCCTTGATTTTTCCACTTTCTTTTTAACAATTCAATTGTATGTAAACTATTAGATAAGTACATTATGTAAAAGTAGTATTATTCAATTTTAAATCAGGGGTCAAAATACATACCATAATTAATTGTAGATAAAGCATAACTGATATAGTAAATAAGCCATAATTGAAAAAATATCTCCAAAAATATCCATGCTATCACAGTATAAATGGCCCTAAACCCTATCAAAATTTGCATTGCAGATAACAAAATACCTTCACTTTCTACTATTATCCAAAAATGCATCTCCCTTTGCTCTTCATCCTACCACTCCTCTTCATCTCCTCTCAGGCTGCAGTACTGGATTTCTGTGTTGCAGACTTATCATTGCCTAATGGGCCTGCAGGCTATTCATGCAAGAAGCCTGCCAAAGTCACTGAAAACGATTTCGTGTACCATGGCTTGGCCACTGCCGGAAACACTACCAACATTATCAAAGCTGCCGTGACACCGGCCTTAGACGCCCAATTTCCAGGTGTAAACGGCCTCGGTATTTCCTTAGCGCGGATCGACCTGGCGGCCGGCGGTGTCATTCCCTTCCACACCCATCCAGGAGCATCAGAAATCCTGGTTGTCATCCAGGGAACAATTTATGCAGGTTTTATATCGTCCTTCGACAATGTAGTTTACCTCAAAACTCTTCAAAAAGGGGATATTATGGTATTCCCTCAAGGATTATTGCACTTCCAATTGAATGCTGGTAAGATTCCAGCAATCGCATTTGCTAGTTTTGGCAGTTCAAATCCAGGTCTCCAAATAACAGATTTTGCCTTCTTTAAGAATGATTTGCCGACTGAAGTGCTTGCCTTGACTACTTTTCTCGACATTGAACAGATCAAGAAACTCAAGGGTGTTCTTGGTGGCACGAACTGATGGAATTCTATGAAGAGCAATTTGTCATTTCGTTTCTGCTAATTAATCTTGATTTTCTCATAATCATATCGCAAACTGTGTCGATTTGGAAATGTAATTTGTAGTCTCTGTCATTTGCTTTCTCGTTTTGCTTTTAGATGCCAAATTATGTTAAGTCTAATTTAAAGTATTTGTCCTAAGTATCAAATCACTTCCTCGCCTGTTTATTTCATTGTGATGATTTTTCCGAATAAAATGGTTAGTAAATTAAGGACATGTTCGGTAATGATTATTAAAATTGATTTTTTGACAATTAGAGAGAAAAGCAGGTTCTATCTGTGAGTGCAGAATTCAAAAATAAAGGTTGAAATAGTGAAATAACAGACAAAAATTGATTTTTTGGGAGTGAAAAATTGTTACTAAACGGGGGCTGGAACTAAGGAGTCGACTTATCTGCTCTCTTTTGTCTTATGGGGCTCACATCTAGCTCCTGTTTATATTAAGGGATAAATTCTACATCGATTAAATATTGAAATATAGATCAACATTTAAGAGTTTAGATTACTCCTCCTAAAAATGTTGACATTTTAAGATGGAACTTAAGGGATAAATTTCACATCGATTAAATATCAAAATGTAGACCTACATATAAGAGCTTAGAACTCCAAATCTTAATAGTTTGGTGTAGGTAAAAATTAGTTTTTTAGTATATTTTGGTAAAAGTTGATGAAATGTGTGACTTAAATGTTGTGAATCACATGAAATATCTAGTTAATATTAATTACTGACTTTTACTTAACTTTAAATTCATGTTTTAATTTACATCAAACAAGGGCTAGTTTCCAACCAGTTGATCTTCGAATATACCCTCCTCTATAAGCACGCTATACTTTTGAGGTCATAAGTTATTGAAATAATAATGTAATAGAAATGGGCAGTGGATGAGCGATAGTAGTTGTAGGTCCTACAATATGTGCAACTAAAATTATTGTTTGACTTTTGACCATTAAATGATAAGAAACTTATAGGATAAAAACATATTGAAAGAGCGATTTGTTGTGAAAATATTGATCGATTACAAATCATTTATAAACATTAGCCAAACATACGTAGTCACCTAGCTAGGGGTGGCATGAAGTAGCCACTCTAATTGCCATAAAGTTTCCAAACCCCTATCTAAATGTCCATGACACCTTGTACTATGAGACAATCATAATTCAGATTACAATGACTAACTTTAACTTAGTCTATTCTTGACCTACTACATTTAAGTTGTTAATTAGTTTTGACAAATCACTTAAAAAGGCCCAAAACTACATTAATGGTTCGTTTGATTGTAAAAATGAATTTTGCATGAAAAAAATAATTCCAAAGAATTAAATTTCTTAGAAATTGTTTTCCTGAAAATTGTAAATTATTGTATTTGATTGGTATAATTTTTCACATGGAAAATATTGAAATAAAAGTAATTTTTGGTGTTCGTTTGGTTTTGTTTCACATAAAAATTGTCAATTAAATGGATAGAATTTACCATTATTATGGATGAAATTTGTTTCCATTATCAAAAAAATAAAATTCAATAAAATAATCTATCTTTTGGTTTTCGTTTGGCTTTCTTTTACATGAAAATTATCAATTAAAGGGAAATATTTTTTACAATAATTCTTAGAACTTGTTTCCATTGCCAACAAAGAAAAAAATGAAAAAACAAATAAATTTGCTACAGTGGCCTAGAAAATGTCTAGGTGGCAAGGAACGATGGAAAATGTTTTCCATGACAAATGTTTCCTATCAAACAATACAAAGGTGGAAAATGTTTGAATATTTTCCTAGTTCCATGGAATTCATTTGGTATCAAACATAGCCTAAATAGTTATTTATAGAAGCTTTCAAGCATGCATTACAATTTCTAATATTAACAAGTGTCTACTTCAAAATAAAATCAAAGCTCCCAATATATACCTCTTTAATCTATTACCATCGCATAATCTATAAATATATCATTTCACAAGTGTATTATGTATACTTCTACCACATAAAAATATTTATCAATTGTTCACAATTAGTTTTAATGATTAATCATTTCCATCATTTATAAACTATTTAAACTAATTATTTTTCTCACACAAAAAAAAAAAAAAAATTACATATAATGTACATGATATAGTAAAATATATCAAATAATATTTTAATTAATTCTTTCAAAATGATTTGGATTGACATATTTGGAAAAAACGTAAATATGATATAGTGTCACATGAGACAAAAACAAAATTACTCTTGATAAATAATGTACAAGCGGAGTGTACGTAAAGAAGTGTTATTAGTACGTGATATCGAATGTTCAAAGTTTAGGATTTTTGGGTTGTATGGCATCAAAACACAAGCCTTGTATTTAGAGATTGTTTGGGTGTGATTTTGAAAATTGATTTTTTGACCTTTAGGAAAAATGTGGGGTCCACTTGTGAAGGAAGAAATCAAATATGACGGTTGGAATAGTGAAATAACGATAAAAAAAAATTAATTTTTGGGGGGGGGGGGGGG